GAGGAGGAGGAGGAGGAGGAGGAGGAGGAGGAGGAGGAGTGCAGAAGGGGGTGGAGGAAGACGAGGAGGAACGGAGACTTCAACCTAAGTCAGCTTTCCATGTCCTTAACCAAGATATCAACCTCCACAAAAGGATGCTAAAGGGCTGGTCCTAAACCAGAGGGAGGCCCCACCTTCTGGGAAGCCCCAAAAGCTGAGAAGTCAGGGGAAGGAACAAGGGAGTCTGGTGGGAGTGGAGGAAGAGACTCTGATAATGCCAAATTCTCCAGCCAGAAGGCCCAAGTTCAGGGAGGGAAAATGTTTAAGGAAAATCAGACATTTTCAAACCCCAGATCCAGGTCCTGGGTAGAACCCAGGGGCCCCAACAGCTCCAGGCGACTCACTCCCTACCTCCCACCACAACCTTGGCCTCTCCGTTCTGGCCTGCACCAGGAACACAGTTCTCTCCATTTCTGTCTCATGAGGAGCTGCTCCTCCCCAATCCCCAACTCACTCCTTTGGGGCCAGGCAGCTTCTTCAGCTAAGATCATCTGAAAGATATGTGTCCTGGGCTCCGCTGGAGAAAGCTTGCTTTTCCCCCTTCCCTGGGGTTTTCTGAACTCTAACTTCCTCTGCAACAAGGAAGAGCAGGGGCTTAAGTGTAGTGGTTGTTAACTGTTTAGCAGTGGAACCTAGTATCCCCCATCTGAATCTCATTGGAGTAGATCAAAGCTCAGCTGATCTGGCTAGAGCTGGGAGAAGATAGTGAGGCATTTTGTGGGCTCTGGGGCTCGAGGAGTTGGTAAGGAGAGAACGAAGGAGGAAGCTAGACCTGGCCATGACTTTGGGCCGCTCTTCGGCACCTGAGAGGGCAGACCTCAGCCTCCCCCCTGCACACACTGAGGGTATCACTGCAGGAGACTTGAGGTCCCACCTAACCCAGACTTCCCGTGTTGGGAGACCCTAGGGAAGCACTGCAGGTGGGAGGGCTGCTAAGACCAGGCAGAGAAATGATTAACCAGTGTCTGCCTAGTGCCAGGGCTCTCAGACCCAGCCCTCACCCCCTGCAGACAGGCCTGGCCTCACAGATCACCAGGTCAGTCCAGGGAGGAAAGGACAAGGCTGCTGACCAGGGAAGCCAGCTGGTCAACTCACCATCGCCCCTACCCCAAGGCCAGAGGATCTGGATTTCTACATATTGCCATGGCCAGGCTGCAGGCTGGCCCTCAGCTCCTCCTCCTCCTCGCACCCTCCACTCGGGCTGCCCCAGCCTGGGAGGCTCGGTTGACAGTGACTCACACACAGCCTTTCCTGCAGCCCGCTGAGGCTTGTTGCTCATTCGGGGAACGGGAGCGGTCCTCTGTTCCAGGCGCCTCACCAGGGTGACTGTTGGCAGCAGCTGTGTCTGCCCACAGGGTTCTGTGAGGGCTGGAAGCCAGGCCAGGGGCCCCTAGGGCAGAGCTGGCTCCCCAGGGCTTCCTGGCCACTTAGCCTGGACATCCCATGGGAACCTGGCCTCACCCCTGCAGGCACAAGGCTCCAAAAGTCTGTATGAACAATGGCATTCACTCCCATTTAAAAGTTACACACACACACCAACAAACATACCTAAACATGCTCTCGCACAAAATCACACATAACCCACCAAAAAAATGGATACTTCTGAAGAAGTATTGTGTGGTATGTTTTTTTTTTCAAATTGTGGTATGGATTTTTAACCTAATATGATAGGAGGAAGATCTTCAATAAACATTCAAGCTCAACATACTCAAGTTTCAGCAACACAAGAATCTACAGAGCACACAAGGCATCTCACTACACAGGCCATAAACACGCTCGCCCACACAGCTGGCCCTACGCACATAGCTAAACAGGCCTCCATCGGCCCAGATGTGTCCAGACACCCCCACCCCACTGGCCCACAGGCAGAGTCCAAGGGCTCGATTCTCAGCCCCACCCTCGGCACAGACCTTCCCTAGGGTGTGTCTGACCTCTAAGGCAACCTGGGCTCCTTTTCTCAAGCACTGGTTCTCCCCGTTCTTCAGGCTTACTATTCCCCTCTGTAAGACCTCTTGGGCCTCTGCACTGGAGTTAGCAGACAACTATGTTTTGAGGTAGGCTGGGGTCCTGTGCTGGCCCCAGCCCCAGGAGGGCGAGCTGCTGGGCAGAGATTGAATCAGACACTGGAGAGGCTCCCAAGCCCTTCTGAGAGGAATAGTAAGAAAAAGGAGGGATTCTAAGTGCTGGCAAAAGTGTGAAGGATGTCTTGATTAGGAAGGCCTGAGATACTCAAGCTTCTGGAGAGCTGCTGGCTGCACCTGCAGCGCCAGCCCTGACCCCACTACAGGCCCAAACACCCACCTAAAAGATCCAAGAGGCCAACTTTATCCTGGCTAGAGCCTGAGGAAGGAAAGGAACAGGGCTCCAGCACTGAGCCACTTACATCAGCCTCCAGTTCCTTAGGACACAAGGGGTGGGGGGGAGGGAGGAGGTAAAGAATCACCTTCCAGCAGTTTCAGAGAGAGGTGGGGACAGCTCCAAGAAGAGTCACCAACCACCAGGTGGGGAGGGGATGGGGGGAGCTTCCTTCCCTCCCCTCTCTGACCCTGTAGGCTGTCCCCTGACCCCTGACTTACAAGTAAAATTGCAGCACACGAGGATCCCAGCCCAGATACCACCCCCAAAATACCAAACTCAGAATTTGGGTCTCCCTGGGTGGAGGGGGGGGGTCGGTTTCCCTCAGATCCCATTCACAGATCCCTGCTCAACTGGCCCTGAAGGAGGGCTGACCCCGTTCTTACTCCCAAAAGGAGGCGAGGGACACCTCCAGGAGCCACTCTGGGACTCTGTACCCCGTCAATCATAGCTTCTCTCAAGAATGAAGTTGAGGAGCAACTCCTGGCCCATCAAAACGTTCCCACGCGGGGAACTGTGCCGACTGGGGAGTAAGTAGTTCCACCCTGCCACCTGAGAGGTCCCGAGCCGGGCCCCGATTCTCGATCCAGCCTCGGTGCCAGACCCCGGCGGGGAGAGGCTCGGAGGGAGAGGAGCTCCGAAGTCTGGCCGCGGACCCTAGCCCCAGGCCGGCCTCGGGTCCCGGCCCTGGTCCCCACACAGCCCGGCCAGCGACCACGCTCACCTGGACAGCGCCGACCAGTCCTTCCTGCTGATCGACATGCTGCCGAGCCCCCGGCCGCAGCGTGCGTGCGCAGTACTCCGCGCGCAGTGCTCCGCGCCCGCCCGTCCGCCGCGCCCGCCTCACCTGCGGCCCCGCCCCGCGCGCCAGGTGCGGTCACATGGCCGCTTATCTCACCGGGCTCGCGCCCCGCGTCCCCGATCTGAGGCCGGGAGCGACCAGAGCAAAACTGGGCGGATCGCCGTCCGGAGCACCGAGCCCCGCGCGCACCGGAGCACGCGAACCGGACCCGGAGCCCCGCGCGCACCCGGGCACGGGCCCGATCCGGAGCCCCGCGCGCACCCGGGCACGGGCCCGACCCGGAGCCCCGCGTGCACCCGGGCACGGGCCCGATCCGGAGCCCCGCGCGCACCGGGGCACGGGCCCGACCCGGGCACGGGGGCGGCGAGCCGCACCGACGGACTCCGGAGCTAGCGCCGGGCTGCGCGGCGGCTCGGGGTCGGGGAGGGAGACTTCCTGCTCAGAACCAGTCGGACCAGCTTGGCGCTGGGCCGCCTCTCCCCGCCGTGTCTCGGCCCGGAGTGCCCCGGAGTGAGGCTGGGCGGGCGGGCGGGGGTTACCCGGGCACTGGAGTCAGGCTGATTTCCCTGCCTGGAAATCGACTTAATCCTGAGAAACCTAAGAGCAGGAAACGAAGCGTAAAAGTTAGAGCAAGTACGTAATCCGCCCCCCCCCCCCGCCCCGGCTATCTGGACAGCAGGCAGCATGGGGGGAGGGGAGTTCCTGGAAACTCCCTTTGCTAGGTTCCCCCCTGGGGTCAGGACCACCCACCCCATCCCCCCCCCCCAGACCCCGCGGAGGTGAACAGGAGTTGTCGTTCAAACAAGCCCCATAGAAAGCCAGCCCCTCCCAAGAGGAGCCTCTGAGACTCGAACCTGCAAAAACGGGAGTGTCCACGGCTCTGAAACCCAAATGTGCCAAAGACACAGGCTGTGGGGTGGAAAAGTGGACATAGGTGACTGGAACTAGAGCCCTAAAGAGGCCTGAGGCAGAAGGGCCTCCCTCTGGGCCCAGGGCGCGCCAGGTGCTTCCCATCCAGGAACCTGCCAGCGGCTGAGTGTGAGGTGAGGAATCGTCTTCACTTGAGAATCAAACAGCGTGGAGCTGGACACCGGTGGCTCACGCGTGTAATCCTAGCAACTCAAGAGGCTGAGATCCGAGGATCGCAGTTCAAAATCAGGCCAAGCAGGAAAGTCTGGAGAATCAGTTAACCAGCAAAAAGCCAAAAGTGGAGGTGTGGCCCAAGTGGCAAGGCACCGATCTTGAGAGAAAAAGCCTAGGGACAGCTCCTGGGCTCTGAGTTCAAGCCCTAGTATCAGCAACACATGCATGAGCAGCTGCAGTTCCTGCCTATAGAGAAACAGGCCCAGCCCCCCGCCACTGTGGCACTGGATGAGTGGGAGGCAAGCACAGCTACCTGCATTTTCATTGGCCTCCATGCCCAGCTTCAGCCTCTCTTGGTGCTGAGCCAAGCTAGTGGTCTTCGGGGCCCTCAAGCTCTGAGACCTCATGCCTCAGTCAAGCAGAAACCACAAGCATCCAGCCAGCCTGCCGGGGTGCCTCCTTCCTACACACCCCTTCCTCCAGGAAAACTTCCTCACATTGCAGTGAGGCTGCCAGGCAAGGGAATCTAGGTGGAGCTGGAGACTTGGCCTTGAGCCCCCCTTCTGCCCATTAGAGAATTATGTGATTGGAGAGGAATGCCTCCGTTTCCCCTTCTGTGAAGGGAGAATGTCGTTCTGAAATCTTGCTCTGTTTCCTTCCAGGTGGTGGAAATCAAGTGACTTCTAGTGACCCTGAGTGATCCTCGTGAGTGTGGGCAAGCCCAAGAGTTTTCAGCAGAGGCCAAGGCAGGACCCTGAACTGTTTGTTCTTTTCCAAGGAAAAAGGAAAAGGGATTGCCTGGTCACTGACCCTGCACACACTGATAGTATGGTCCTGGATACCTGGTACAGCCAGGAGAGTCTAGTCTCCCGGAACCTAGCCAGTGTTCTCGTGGTTGGTCAGGGTTGGCATCTCAGCAGAGGAGGAAAAGCATCCCACACTTGATGAAACCAGGGGACTGTCAGGTATCTAAAAGCCCACCCTCTCTGTGAATGTAAAAACCCCCATATATGGGAGGTTGGTATGCAGACAACTCCCCAAGCAAGGAAAAGTAAATTAAGTTTCCAGTGAACTCATTGAAGGCAGAGTACACATACTAGATGCCAGCATCTAGTGCTAGATCTGTGCTTAGTGCTACATCTTTGTATCCATTTGCTAGGGCTATGGTAACAGAGTGTCACAAAGCAGGTGCCTTTAAAACAGCAGAAGTTTATTGCCTTTCAGTTCTGAAGACTAGAAGCCTTACACCAAGCACTGGCAGAGCTAGGCTCCCACCAAAGGCCCGAGAGGAGAAGCCTTGCAGCTCTTGTGCCTGCAGCTGCATTGCTCCAGTTTTATGTCACACGGCATCCTCCATGTCTAAGCTTCTTTCTTCTTGTAATAAAAATATTAGAAGCCTGGTACTGTTGGCTCATATGTGTAATCCTATCTACCTCAGATCTGAAGATCCAGATTCAAAGCCAGCCTAGGCAGGAAAGTCTGTGAGACACTTATCTCCAATTAACCACCAATAAGTTAGAAGTGGAGCTGTGATTCAAAGTGGTGGAGCATCAGCCTTGAGTGAAAAAGCAAAGGGACAGTGTCTAGGCCCTGAGTTCAAACCCCAGAATAGGCACAAATATGCATGTACATACACATGCAGAAGCGTGCGCGCGCGCACACACACACACACACACACACACATTAGGTAGGGATCACCTAATCCAGGTGACTGTATCTGCTACAAAGACCATATTTCCAATGAAAATCCCATTCAGGGGTGCCATATTTTTAGGGGATATTATTCTACCTGCAACTGTGGACAAGTGGCTTTGACACCAATAACACTGTCTCAGTTCCTGATCTCAGAACATCCCCAGTCTAACACACACACACACACACACACACACACTATTTCTTTATAGTCCACAAAAGAAATGAAGGGGCTTGAGCAAAGGCAGCCTGGAGGAGGGGAGGAAATGTCATTGGTCAGAGCTTTGAACGACCTGACCCTTCAGGATCCAAGTGACTGACTGTGGCTGGGGACTCCCCTCTCCCTGGTCTGAGAGACTGGGTAAACACAAATGCTGTTGAGGAGATTCAGTGGGTGACCTCTAAGGGTCTCTCACACTCCGTATGACTCACACTTTATTGTGGTGCTTCTTGGTCGTGGGGCTGTCTGTGCATGGTAAGCTGTGCACCAAGCCTCCATGGGCTTCTGTGCCTTTGAGTTTAAGGCTGTTGGTGTGCCAGCTCAGGAGACAGCTTTGCATTGTGCTGCCCATGTACCCTATGGCCAATACTGGGTGAGGAGGCAGGGAGATCTGTATCTGAGCCTGCGTCCCGGCCCCCAGCTTTTCTGGAGGAGGAAAGAATGTTCTATTCACCTCATTATCCTCTCATGCCTGGCGTGGCTGCTACTCAGTTAGGATTTGGGAAATTGCATTCACCTGGTTTGGGAAGGCCAGGAGAACCTGGAGAATATCAGAACCACTACCCAGGGTGTCCCCGGGAGGTGCAGTCTGGGAGAAGCTGAGATGAAGCACCTCTAAGCGTCCAGGACCCTGGGCCTCCAGGGTCCAGCCTGATGTGGAGCCTCTGCTGCCCTGAGAGTTGCAGGCAGAGTGTGAGTGAAATGCCCTCACGAGGTGGGCACCAGCAGTCACACTTTGGGATCAGGAATGGTCTCAGCAGTGCTTTTGGTTGGTTTCTTGCTTGCTTACTTGTTTTCTTACTTCCTTTTTAATATTGAAACGGGTTGGGACTCAGCACCTTGAGTTTGCTAGACAAGCCCATTACCACTTGAGCCACACCCCAGCCAAGATTCACAAATTGCAAGAAGTTACCAAGAGAAGCAGCAGTACGTCTCCCAACCCTCAGAGAAACATTCTAAGCACTCACAGGGAATATCTTAAGCCACAGATCGTACCTAGCCTTGTATATTATATTTTTGTCCTATGCTCACCTGTAATAAGGTTTAATTTATACCAGGGAACTGGTGACTCACATCTGTAATCCTAGCAAGTCAGGAGGCTAAGATCTGAGGATTGTGATTTGAAAACAGCCCCTGCAGGAAAGTCCATGAGACTCTTAACTCCAATAAGCTACCCCCAAAAAGCCAAAAGTAGAGTTCTAGCAGAAGTAATACATTGTTAGCCTTGAGTAAAAGAAGCTCAGGGACAGTGCCCAGACCCTGAGTTCAAGCCCCAGGACTGGCACAAAACAAACAGTTTCATTTATAAATTAGGTAAGAGATTAGCAATGATAACTAGTAATAAAGAGGATAGGGTGTCGCTCAGTAGGAGAGCAGGTGCTTATCATTCAAGAGGCACCAGTTTCAGTCCCCAGCACCAAAATAACAACAACAACAATAATAATAATATAGAACAATTTAAACATACACTGTGATAAAACTGCCAGCTACATTACTCCTGTGCTTTGGGGCTATTATTAAGAAAAACAAGGACTACTTGGCTAGAGCACTGGGCTGCACAGAGTTGATCTTCTAGTGGAAAGTGCTAAGTGACTGGCAAGGAGGAAGCATGTATTAAGTGCACACTCTGCAAATAGACATGATTTGTGTCCTGAGCAGGATGGTGCTAAAACTTCATCACACTACCAAAAGAGCGTGCGATTTAAACTTTAGGAAATGTCGATTTGCAAGACTTTCCACTGAATGTTTTTAGACCATAGTTGAACACAGGCAACTGAAACCCTAGATAGTAAAAACTCTGGATAAGAGGGATTCTGCTAAACAAGAAAAAATTGAGCATCGCATTTGTTTTGCTGAAGAGGACAGCCTTAGGACGAAAGGGAGCACTGCCCGATTCTTTCCCAAGTATTTTGCATATCCTAGTTCTTAAATTGAATGGCTGGTATCTGCGGTGTTGCTCAATGGTAGAAAACTTGTCTAGTAGGCACAGGGACCAGGGTTCAATCTCCAGCACTGCCAAAGGAAAGAAATAAAATGAATGGTTGTTAAATGGGTGTTCACCTATCATTCTTTAAATGACTGGACACACATTTAAAATGCCAGCAAGTGCAGGTCACTTCCCCAGGGAGAGTCCATAGGGCATGGCTTATCAGAACTGGGAAGGCCCCGGGATCCCCCTGGGAGCAAGGACAGGGGAATTTCAGTATTTCCCAGTCAAAGGTGGGCAAGGGATTGCCCTCTCCCCCTCCCTCGGGGTTCTGAGGCACCCCAGAGCAGATTCAGGCTCCTAAATCTCCCAGAGCAAGGACTGGTAGCTTCTTTTCCAGAAAAGCTAGAGTGGAAATCTGGGGGATCCCCAGCCCCAAGCAGCTGACCTGAATGTCACCCTAACAGATCAGTTCTGTTCCTGTTCTGTTTTTGTTCTAAGCAGCTGCTGAGCCTATAACATCATTGCAAATAGAATCCAGGGCAAAAGCTTGGGATTTTTTTAAAGGTAATGAGCTGGGGGGGGGGAGGAAGGGTTAACTTGGGTTTGTTTTTTTTTAGTAATTTAAAATCATTTGTGTGGGTGTGTGCGCACATGGGACTTGAACTCAAGGTCTATATGCTGTCCCTGAGCTTCTTTTGTTCAAAGCTAGCACTCTCTCACTTGCCACAGCTCCACTTCCAGCTTTTTGGTGAATGATTGGGAGATGAGAGTCTCACAGACTTTCTTGCTTAATCTGGATTCAAACCACGATCCTCAGATCTCAGCCTCCTAGGTAGCTAGGATTAACCAATGTGAGCACCTGGGTCCTAATAACTTTTCATCATTTGATAATTCTCTTAATAATATTTTTAATATGGATACTGGAAATGGTGTTGTCAATTATGACCATGAGCAAACAACAATTACAGGTGGGCATGGCGGCACATACCTGGAATCTCAGACACTGGGGAGGCAGAGACAGGAAGATAAAGCCAGCTCAGGCAAAAGTGCAAGGCCCTTTCTGGGGGTGGGGGGACTAAAAAAGCAAAAGGACTAGGGGTGTGGTGGCATATTGTTTTCAGAACAAAAGAGAACACTTTCTCCTAAAAACATGTAATTTTAGGAAAACCTCGCAGCATCTATGCCCTGGTTTCCTTGTTGTGGAGCAGAGCAGTTAGAACTGGGATCATGAAGAGCCATCTGGAGAAGGCCCCATGGCTGGCTTCTCCATAGACAAGCCAACAAGCCAGGTAGGGGGCACTCACGAACTCCCCCTTCAAGTTAGAAGGAACACCTGTCTGGGTACCCGGGACCCAGCTTCCCCCAGCCCTGGCCAGCCAATGAGCAAAGCTACTAGCTAGCCCTGGAGCCTGGCAGGTACTAACTAAGTCAGGAATCGAGACAGGCAGGCTGTTGAGATCCCCCAGCCTCAAACAAAAATGAACTGGAAGCCCAAAGTTTCCTCAGGAGACAGGGAAACCTCTGCCCTAACCCCATTCCCAGATCCGTGACCTTGAGCACAACGCTTTCCCTCTCCACACCAATCCTACAGGGCTATCTCGGCTCACCCTGCTCAACCTTGACCTTGGAGCCGCCACCCCAGCTGAGGAGTATGGTCCTGGGATGGGAGAGGCCCTTGGTCCCTCCCTGCGGTCTGGCAGTGCCTGGGGATGTCTGCGGGAGGACAGTCCTAGTGGAGTCAGAAGGGAAGCATCCGTCTGCACTGGTCCCAACGATCAGTCCCGGGCCTCAGCAGCGTGGTCACCCACCTGGAACACCACTGCCCCCAGAGCTGCCCAGCCCAGAGCCCTGTGGGGAGTGTGACTCACTTCGCGGGGGGCCATTGGAGCTAATGTTTAACTTGCCCCTCCTCTGGCAGGGCCCTTTAGCCCCAGCAGCTCTGAGCACAGGCTCTGCCCTGAGTGCCCATACTGCTAAGTGGGCACCTGGGGACAGGCATGTGATAGGGGAAGGGAGACACAGCCTCTGGCCTCCTGAGGGCTCTGTGACAGGCTGGATGGCAGCTGTAGCATCCTGCCTAATGGTTCCTCTCCAGAAAGAAGATTCCAGGTCCCATCTCCAGCTTCTGACAAAGGAGCACCCACCTGGCCGGTACAGGCTGGTTCTCCACATAGGAGAACCAACCCAGGCCTCCACCCCCAGTCCACACCCCGCTGTGGGGGAGACTGGCTTTGCTTATTTGGATATTGTGTTCACCTCACTTGAATGGGTTTTCCCTTTGGGGAAGGAGGACTGGAAACTCCACAGTGTATATTCAGGGCCCTGAACCTACCTAGTGGATGCAAGACTGGTCCCCCCCACAAAAAAAAGGGCAGCCCCAAAGGACCATGGGCCTGGGTTGAATGTGTGGCCTGTAGCTGTCAAACTCTGTATCTGAGAGTGATTAGGCTCCATCCTTCGGAAATAAAAGATAGTCCTATCTACTTCTGAGGCTTACGAA